TGTGTGTGTGTGTGTGTGTGTGTGTGTGTGTGTGTGTGTGTGTGTGTGTGTGTGTGTATTGTAACGTGGCGATTTCGCCGTCACCGATTTTGCCGGGAGACGAGGAGAGCTGTGCTCGCGCCCGCTTCTCCCGCGGGGAGGGCGGCGGCGAAGAATTTGGTCTCGCCCGCTTTTGCGTGCGAGATCGCGTTGTTGTAATTTTTTTTTTTGTTTGTTTTAATTGTGTGTTCGGGTTGTGACGAGTGTGACAGAGTGCATCTATCGGAGCGAGGCGACGGCGGACTTGAAGCGGACGACGAGCCAACGGGGCAGGATCCACCCCTCGCTAACATAAGCGGCGGGGGCCCCAATTAACTTGCCGCGGGGCGCCTGGAAGGGCTGGACCTTAAGGACCAGATCCCGGGGGACGCCCTGGGATACCAAGAACTTCCGGCAGCCACCTGAGCGCCCACGCCAGTTAATGATGCCGTCGGGCACAGGATCCCGTCGACGAGGAGTCAGAGAATTCGGCGGTGTCGCGCGGTAAGGCGCCCGCGCTAGAGCTGTACATTCCCGCAGGACCAATAGAACCTAGCGGCGATCGGCGGCTGAGACCGCGAGCCTAGGGAGCCTCGCGCTCGCGGAGAAATTCGTCACTGTGCGGATAGCGAGCGACGCGAGTGCTGCGAACGATCCTGCGAGCGAGCGAACGAGTCTGCGAACGAGCGAGCTAGCGGACGAAGAACGAGGAGCGAGCCCAACGAGGGATATTTGGTGAGCTGTTTTCCACCTGTCGTTCAGCCCGAGCGCCGAAAGACCGGGATGGTTGCCGTCGCTTCACGACGGTAGCCGGAAGGGTTCGTCGCCATCCTTGACGACCCGTTTGACCTCGCGATCGCGGGCTCAGATTCGGAGCCCGCGAGAGAATAGCCGTCCTTACCGCGCTGCCTGCTGCCGCTTCACCGCGTTCGCGACCGCACAGTACGGCGAGCAATTGCGTGAAAATTATGACGACTCGCGATCATTCGTAGGAAGTGCGGGTCTCCGAGAGTGGCGAGAAAAACGCGGTTCGCGACGTGACAATTAGGGCCGGGACGTACCCGGCTGGCGTCCAATTCAGCAATTAGCGTGTAACGATAGAATTTCGCGAGCCTCGTGCCGTCCGAACTCCGCGAGGCAGACGGATCCTCGACTACGGATCCAGCTGCCGAATGGCTTCGCGACTACGCGACTCGGAGCCCGCACCGCGTCTTTTGTAAAACCTTTCTTTGTTGTTTTTTTGTTAAATACAGCGTAATGTTAAACCGTACGTGTGTTCATTGGTGATTCCTCCGACTCTGTCGCCTGTTCCTCCCGTGTCGCGCGAAGGAAGGTCGCGTGTCGACACACGAACCCCGCCGCTCTATCGAGTCAGATATTTTTTTTGGAGAGCTGCCGGCAAGCTCGGCCGTCGCCGCAACGGCGGAGACGAAGTTTTGGCCGTATTCTCGCGTACAACTAACGAAAAACGGTCACAATATAAACTCATAAAATAAAATAAAAATTTTGAATAATAAATAATAAAAACGTTTTAATAATAAAAACGTGCAGCATTTATTTATGATAAAGAGGTACCCAAGCAGCAAAGGTTGGCATATTGACCAAACCAAAGTCAAATTGCCTTAATTAAGTGAAAATTTACTAATTTTTTATCTAAAAAATATCTAAAAAATCAAATAGCGTTGCAAGTTCATTGTACAGGTCAAATATTACACAATTTTAACCTACAAAATGCCTATGAAAGCTTTGTAACTTTAAAGTTAAATATTAAGTTACAAATTACCAAATTTTAACCAAAGATAAATCTTCAAAGTCGATTAAACTTATAAGTCAATATTAGAGTCTCGTTTAAAAGAAGATGACCTGCTTGGATTACTTTATTTCGACCATGTAGGCGATATTACTTAATTAGTCAAAATTACGTAATTTTTACGAAATGTAAGCCCTATATATGCAACTCGGGCAAATAAGGAATATTTAAGGCGTAAAGTAACCTCACGGCTGTGCTAGAAGCTAACTTCAAAGTCGAAATTACCGCGGAATATGACTTATAGAGAATTTGGAGCGAGGATAGGACGAAATGTCTCACAGAATTGCCCTCAAAGTTAGTTATTTTACTAAGCATCTGGAAATCAACATAACCTACGATGTGAATAAAACCTGTAATAGCTGCGTCTTTTGACAACGGGTATAATTCACTGCGTTTGCTCTTGCTGCTTCAAAAGTAAAGATGCCGAGGAGAGGCGAATATAAACCATACCGCTTAACAACAAGTTTCTATAGACATGCAAAGAAAAACAGTGGAACTAGTATAAATAATACAAGAATAATTGTTTCCACCAATCGTGATGTTGCAGGAATAATTAATAATGATAGTAAAAGTGAAAACATAAGTGCAATATCACAACATTTAGATGTCCCCGTAAATGACATGTGTAATTCGCCGTTAATTTATCACGAATTGTTAGGATTTGATGTCTTTCCTGAAGAAGATGAGTTCGATATAAACAAAGAAAATAGAATACAAGATAAAGTTACATTGATAACCGAACTTCATAATTGGGCAATCACATTCATTGACATTGGCATCACTTACTGACTTATTAAAAATATTAAGGAGTCATGACATGGCGGAACTGCCAAAGGACGGTAGAACCCTTTTAAAAACTCCCAGCATAACAACAATTGCAGAAATGGGATCAGGAAAATTTTGGTATAATGGTATCAAAAACAATTTGCTATCAACGCTGTCAAAGTGTAATATTCAACAGCCAAGAAGTATTAAATTACTTTTCAACATTGATGGAATGTCACCGTTCAATAGTTCGTTATACCAATTTCGGCCGATATCATTCATTGTTGAAAATTTTAATTTACAACCAATAGTTGCAGCAGTTTATTATGGTGAAAGCAAGCCTCCACTTCAGTTGTATTTCAAACAGTTTGTGAATGAATGAAATGAAATCCTTAGAGATGGATTATTTATAAATGGACACAAAGTGACTGTCGAAGTAAAGTGCTTTATTTGCGATACACAAGCAAGAAGTTATATTAAAGGTACTAAATTAATATAAATAATGTTTAATATTATATGTGATAAATGCGTTTTATGAACTATAATGCGTATATGTATATTATTCAAAATGTATTATGTATATTATTCAATATAGGAACACCAGCTTGTAATGCTGAATATGGGAGTTGCAAATGTACAGTGGTTAGAGAATGGGATAAGAAGGGACGTCACATGAGCTACCCAAGATTTAATTGTCTTCGAAGGACTAATGAAAATTTTCGCAATAAAACGGATGAAGGTCATCACAAGGAAGACACGCCTTTGACAGCTTTACCGATTGATATGGTCGAAGACTTTGTAGTCGCAGACTCGTTACATCTATTCGATTTAGGTATGTTTTAAATTTTTTATTATAGTCCTGGCCTCTCTCTCTCTCTCTCTCTCTTAAACTGTTATTTTTTAATTTTTTGTGACGTAATAAAATATTTGTATACAGGTATCATGCGTAGATGTTTATATGGATGGCGCGAAGGAAGTTATAATTTCCGGACAAAATTATCAAATACTCAAGCCGATGAATTATCAGAAATGCTAAAAGCATGTAATGAAACAAAACCGATGGATATTCATCGAGCTATACGTTCGCTAAAACACCTGAAATTTTGGAAAGGTGCGGAATATCGAGTTCTTTTGTTATATCTTGGTCCCGTACTTTTAACAAATTTGTTATCATCAGAAAGTTATGAACATTTTCTAAACCTCAGTAGCGCAATTACGATTCTTTCATGCAAATATTATTCTAAATATTTAAGTATTGCTGAAATTTTATTAAACGATTATATTGAGAAATTTATAGACATCTACGGAATAGATTCTATAAGCAGTAATGTGCATAATATTTGTCATGTGATAGATGACGTAAAAAAGTTTGGTCCTTTACCTGGAATCAGCTCATATCCGTTCGAAAATTATCTCGGACACATAAAGAGATTAGTTCATAGTGGTAATCTGCCACTCAGTCAAATTAGTCGGCGAATTCTTGAATTGTCAACAATGAATTGGTCATCAAAAAGTACAAGTCATTGTAACATAAATGTTGCAAATGAAACTATCAATGGTATACATGAGGTGCCAACGTGTACAAACGTTTATAAGCAGCTAAATTTAACAAATGATTTTGTTTTATGCGATAATAAAAATAGATATTTCTTAACAAATAATGAAGAGATTGTATCGATGAAAAATGCAACTTATTTTGAGAATGCAATCCACGTGTACGGTGTTAGTCTTAAAAGCAAGTACGATTTCTTTACAAAACCTTTTGCATCATCCCGTTTGAATATTTTCGCTTCAAAAGGTATACTTAATAAAAATTCTGAAGGGCATACAAAATACGTATGCGATTTCCGCGACGCGAAATTGTATCAGTTAAGCGAGATAAAATGTAAGTTGTTTTATATACCATATCACAACGAATTTATTTTCATTCCGTTAATTCATACGTTAGACATCGAATTAAAATTGTGACATATTGTAATATACAAAATAAAAGTGTATTAAAGGATATTTCAATTGCACGTTAATTATTTATTTTAATACATGTCATATACATTAACGTTTTAAAGCTACGTAATATAAAACGAATAAAGTCAACAAAATATGACGTATAACTATAAAATAATTTAATTAGTTTCTCCTTCTCCCTCTCCCCCTGCATTACCATTATCCCTGTCGGCAACATTTGGCACTTCATCAGCAACACCTTGTTGGATTTGAAAGTGGCTGACTTTACCAGTCAGAGAAGATATTGCTAACTCCTGTTTGGGAAAAACTACCGACAGCAGGTCGCTCGTAAGGCGAGCTGCATTGGAATGGTCGCATTTAGCGACTCTAGTGGAAAACAGCTCGAATTTTTTGGATGCCGCTTCAAGAATATTAGACTAAAGAAAAAATTAAGGTTATTAAAAATTAACGTAGCTTTTAAGCATAAAAAAGCTACAAACAGAAATGATTTGAGCAGATCATTATACACAGTCATGAAATACATACATGACTGTGTATAATGATATGTGTACATACACTAACCTCGGTAATTGTAACTGTGTCGTCTTATCAGTGTTTTCTTCAAATGACTTGGAAACCTATAAAAAGTTATGTTTGACTCATTATAGTTACAAGATGTTACATATACACAGAATATGAAGTCTTACAAATATGTCCGAACTAGCATTGCCGACTTCAATCATCATCTGTGAAATCAAGTGACTCCAATCATTATCAAAAATTAAAAATGGTTTTTTAATACGGTTAATCAGAAATAGATGGTTAATAATTATAATAAATCTAAAATCCTATGTATAGAACTACTTATAGAACAAACCTGGGATTCATCGCATGTTAATGTATTGATATCATTTTGCTTTTGCCGCACCTTGATGGGAACGTGACTTTCTTCGATCGGCTTGCAAGTTGTTTTTGAAGTTATAATGTCAACTTCAGTCTCTCCTTTTTTAAGAGCATTAATTTCTGTTTTAATATATTTAATGTCACGTTTAATGACATTAATGTTTCTCACTACTTCTGGGAAACCTATACAGGGTGTTCAAAAAGTCCCAGACCGGTGAAATATCTCGAAAACTAAGCATTTTAGAAAAAAATGTTTCAGATAAAAGTTGTGGCGTTTAAAAAGATGTATTTACTGATCACATCAGTTTGACCTTGGGTTGCGTAGCGAAGGTCAGGTCAAGGTCACATTAATTTTTTTAAATGGAACA